CACTCCCCATTCCTGAATGGAAATGGGAGCACATTACTATGGACTTCGTGGTCGGGCTACCACAGTCACTTTCGAAGAATGATGCAATATGGGTTATAGTAGACCGATTAACGAAGTCAGCGCATTTTCTACCAATCAAAATCATGTACTCCCTTAATAAGTTTGTCACTTTATATATCAAGAAAATTATTCATTTGCATGGTATCCCAGTTTCGATCGTGTTTGATCGAGACCCCGCTTCGTGTCTCATTTCTGGAACAAATTACAGGAAGCTTTGGGAACCACACTAAAATTTAGCACTGCTTATCATCCACAAACAGATGGGCAACCCGAAAGAACAATCTAGACGTTGGAAGACATGTTACGTGTGTGCGTATTAGACCTCAAAGGTAACTGGGATGAGCACCTACCTTTAGTGGAATTTGCCTATAACAACAGTTATCAAGCAAGCATTAGAATGGCACCGTATGAAGCTCTGTATGGAAGGAGATATCGATCACCTCTGTGTTGGACGGAAGTCGGGGAAAGAAAATTGTTAGGCCCCGAGATCGTGCAAGTCACAAGTGAGAAAATTCAACTCATCCAACAACGAATTCACACTGCTCAGAGCCGCCAAAAAAGTTATGCAAATATACGGAGATAGGACTTGGAATTTCAAGTAGGGGGTCATGTGTTCCTTAAAAACTCACCAACAATAGGAGTTATCCGATTTGCAAAGTGAGGAAAGTTAAACCCACGTTACATCGGGCCATTCGAGATACTGGAAAGGATTGGTCCTGTAGCCTATCGCCTTGCACTACCTCCTAAACTATCCAATGTCCACAATGTGTTTCACGTTTTAATGCTCCGATGGTACCTCCGAGATCCAGAACATGTCGTCGACTATGAGAACCTGGAAGTTCAAGAAGATCTCTCTTACGAAGAGCAACCAGTGCAGATTCTCGATCATCATGATCAAATTCTCCGAAGCAAGACCATACCGCTGGTAAAGGTCTTATGGAGAAATCATCGTATCGAAAAAGTTACGTGGGAAATGGAAAGTCAAATGCGAGCCAAATACCCACATCTCTTCGAAATTTAAGGTACGTCAAGTTTGGGGACAAACTTCTATTTAGAAGGGAAGAAATATGATACCCTAAACATTTAAGTAAATACCACATAAATATTTATAGTTATATATAATTAAGATTGTACGTAAGGATATATTATTAAATAAATAAATATATAAATTTAATTTGCCATTGGGTTATTAAATATGAGATTAATTAGAGATTGTTATTTGAAACCAAATTAACATATTTATGGAATTATAATACTAGTTGGGTCAAATTAGAGTTAAAAATAGTAAATAAATAATAATATTGACGACGACGACAACAACAACAACAACAACAAACCAAATTAACATATTTATGGAATTATAATACTAACAACAACAACAAACCAAATTAACATATTTATGGAATTATAATACTAGTTGGGTCAAATTAGAGTTAAAAATAGTAAATAAATAATAATATTGACGACGACGACGATGACGACGACGACGACAACAACACAACAATACTAATAATAATAAGCCTATGTGATAAGGTTACCTAGCATTAATTAGGGAGATTTGTAAATTCTCCAGAAAAAGGGTATTACGCCGCCTGTACAATTTTGATCTAAGTCATTATGGTGAAGATTCGGACCCTCATGTATATAAACAAGCCTAAGCAGCAAATAAAAGATACTAACACGAAGGAAAGTCGGTGAAGGTACTATATAAGCCTCAGAGAGATAGGAAAATATGAAAGAAACAATAAGACTCAATCTTAAGGTGAGTTATATTATACCTTGAGTTACCATAATATATTTTACGTATATTTTGACTTACCATAATTTATGTTATACAAGTTATATTTTATAAGTTATATTAATTCAAGTTATGTTTTAGAAATATTTCAGTTACGTGGATTCATTTGTAAACTCTATTTGTTTAAATGAAACCCATGGATATGTTTGTTTAAATTTTAAAGAATATTTGACTATGACCTTATAAACAATTATGTTTTGTAAGTACTACTATGGGAGTCCCACGCCTTGGGGGACTTAAATAACCATTGGCCTCTGTTTGGCCAATTTGTGGTTCTCTGTTTGTCATGGATCCATTGACCTCTGTTCTGATTGTCACTTCTGTGTCCTCTGTTCTGTTCTGTGCCGTGGTTATGGTTATTTATATAATTTCCGTATTTCAGTTTCTGCCACTTAAATTATTTATTTACCAAATTGAGTTATGTAAATGTTTTGGCTTAACTAACTATCTATGGTTATTTTATATTCCATATACTCATGGCATAATATTTCTCACTCTGCTGTGTGCTTATAGCTGTTACCCTTTCAGGTGACGAGATGTAGGGGAACCCATAACCTCACGAAATGGAACCCGTACGTGGATTGATGTTAAACCACTATTTTGTCTTTCTTTTCTTTTTTTATATTTTTTTGCTCCCTTTTGTTCTACTCGAAACCGGTCACTGAATAATAAAATAATAAAACCCCTATAAATGTATTTTCTCTTGTTAAGATAGTAAAATTGAGTAATTTCATGTTAAATTATTTTTATTTCTGCTTGCGCAGTTTAATTTGCTACAAATAGAATCAGTTAGTAAGTTGCGATTCCAACCCTAAGCCCCTGGGCTTGGGTCGTGACAATATTGGCTCCTTGCATGATTTCTGATTATGGCTTCCCAACTTATCACATCTCTCGCACTTTATTTGCTTCAGTTTCTCACTCCTTGATGGGATTCTATTCTTTTTCGGCTTTCCGGGTAGTCTTTTCACAGTTGGTGGGTATATAGTGAAGTCTGTGGGATCAAAAGACAGCTTTTCCACCGATGGTATAGGGAATATGGCACCCTAATAGGCTACACAATATGTCTCTACATGAAAGTAATGTTCCACACAATCATTAAGATTGTAGTGACTTTTCTGAATAGCAATCACAGCATGGTCACATGGGAATCTGTTGATTTTCCATTTGAAGCAAGAACACGTATGCCTTACAATATCAACTGTAACAGATGGTATCGAATGAACTTCAAACACATCCTCATTGGCTTTGCTAACTTGCCAAGACTTGCTATCGTTGAATGAATCAAGAAGCATTGTTTCGAATGTAGGACAAATAAGCTCATTCCACTTGTTTGCTTGGTCATGCCGTGCAGACATTTGCCGCATAAACTAAGTACGAATTATGTTCACCATTTGAGTTATAGGAAGATTGCGTGTTTCTTTAATCTAATTATAAATGACTCCGCCGCATTGGATGTCATCTCCCCATAACGCATGCCCCTGCACAATATCACAAACATTGTACAATATTGAATTTAATTTATTCAAAACTGAATATGAAATTTCACATTGCCACAAAACATAACTGAAAATTCACATCGACTTGATAAATGGAATACATTAGGAAACTACTATTACCTGAAGTATGAATTTGCCCAGTGCTCAGGTGCTAAGTCCTTGAAAAAAGTATGTGCTCGTTGCTTACCCTCCTCTTTTAATTTCGCAAGCTTTTCATGGAACCCTACCATAGTTGGCTTGTAAGCACAGTCACCCAAACTACTAACTAAGTGATCCCTAAATCCATTATCAATTCCTTTTATTCGGTCTCTTAAATTGCTCTTTAAGTGTTGTAAGCAATAACCGTGATGAGCTGATGGGAACACCTTTAACATAGCTTCTAACAGACCAAGATTACAATCGGAAATAAAAGTAATCTGGTGCTTACCATCAATAACCTTCCCAAGTTCGTGTAAGAACCACGGCCAATTGGCCGTGGTCTCTGAATCAACAATCGCAAATGCAATAGGAAATAAACCTACAACATAACACCATTAAACAATTGTTCACAATATTCCAAAGTGAATAGAAAACAATATAAAGGAAACAGGTCATGTGAATGTTTATATCTACATTGACCTAGTACTATTGTTGTTTTTGGATTTGGTTTCATAAACATCAATAATGTGAACATTCACACTACTGTCCATTAATGGATAAACTCACATTAGTAGACACTGGTGTAAACATTCACATCAGTGTATACTAATGTGAACATATTATTGTTCATTAATGGATAAACTCACATTAATAGACACTGGTGTAAACATTCACATCAGTGTATACTAATGTGAACATGTGAATGTTCACATTACTGTTAATTTCTCAATCAGTCATATTATATTGTTGTTCACATCAATGTGTATTGATGTAATCATTGACACCAGTGTAAATGTGGAACACACTGTGTAATCGTCCGTTATATGTCCACAATATGTCGTTCAATGTGAATATTTATATGAATAGACAGCTAAAAAAAATACTAACCATTGTTTCTATCTTTCGCCATTGTCACAAGTAGCTGACCTTTATACTTTCTTTTGAGGAATGTTCCATCCAGGAATAATAAAGACCAACAAGAATTGAACTCAGAAATACACGCAGCGAATGATACAAAGAAACGACAAAACTGTCGACTACTCGTATCATAGTCAATATTGACATAACTCCCCGGATTGTAACGCATTACAGCATCTGAATACCACCGCAGCTGGTCAAACGATAATGAGTGATCTCCATGAATAACAGCCTTTGCTTTCTCCACGCCCAACCATACCACGTGGTAACTCACATCTAGCCCATAATCCCTCTTCAAAATAGTCACCACTTCACACGGCCGAGTCAATGGCTTGTCCCTCACAATTTCATACATGGTACTCGACACCAAATCAGAATTAACTCTCGGATTCTTCAATGTTCAGATATCCGTACCACAACTATGCACATCACTGAACCTCTTGATGTAGAAAAAACCATTTGCTCGTTGTGCTCTACAATGTATAGCCCACAAGCAGCCTCTCTCCTCGCGCATCGCACACACCGCAGTAACCTTTATTGTCTCGTTCTTGACATACGTAAACTGAAACCCATATTGGATGGCATACTTACATAAAACATCACGAAATTCCTGTGCACCTCCAACAAACCGTTGTTTTGTATGCGTAATACCATTTGCCCAAGGGGCTGACAATAACACCTTCTCCTTATGGTGGCAAAATCTCCGTAGTGCATCAATTTCTTCCTCACCCCCTACACGCAGCGACCCAGAGCTACTCAACTGACTAATATCACTTTTCAACTCAACGACAACTTCTACATGTTGTACCCCCATTGATTTAGCAAGCAATAACATGTTTTAAAATTTTTCCTCATTGTCCAAATCACACCTATTAATTCTAGGTAGCCAACAGAACAATGAAATAAAACTAGCAGACAACTTATCCTATTTTTCACACAAACACTCCACCAAACGCAAATAACACAATGCGCAGGCAGCATTTATTACAGTTGTACTGCAACCATATGTGCACACTAACATCATAAAGGTATCCATCTCTTGTAAAAACACAATAATACAACAGTCAACAATAATCCAAACGATATGAAAATTCACATTGTGCAAAATTAAATGCCTATGTGTACAGCTCAAGTGCTAAATCCATAATGAAAACTATCACTACCATCTTTACACAACATAAAACATTTTACAATATCAAAAAGACACCACCACATTAAGGTGACAGTACACAACATGCAAGCAACCCTCCATAACTTCATATTAACAAGATGTGAACATTCACATTGTTACATATATTCTGAATTATATCACCCGCACAGAGCCTCATTAAGAAAATATCAAAGTAAAATGAGAACATCCACATTCTTCACATAATCTGAATGACCTCCCCTCCACAGGACCACGTAAAATGTATATAATTGAACAAACAGAGCATTCGATCCATATCAATCAAAAAACAGAGCATTTGATCCATCATATAAATCAAAACATAAACTGAACATGTACTCATAACCAAAATGATACTAACCTTAATCATGCAATCCTACATTCGTCCTGTAACTCGAAAACAACTGATTTGAACTAATTATACTCCAGAAAATGTAATAACCGAACACAGTCCAATTCGTCGTCTTCACCCAAAAATCACCGAACCATACTACAACTGCAACAATGAAACCCTAGTACATCAAAGCCTTAAAACGAGCATGCAAAATAGAAACGTATTTATTTGAATTAGAATGATGATCAAAAGTGTGAAAATAGAAACTACCAAAACTGAATCAACGAAAAAAGAGGCAACGTGGTATGTGTATTAACACAATATATATAAGGGTATAATAGTCCAGGTAAAAATATAAAATTAGTAAAATGGACCTTATGGAATAAAAAGAAAAGTATATGAGACTAATCAGGTTATAATAATCTAAAATTAGTAAAATGGACCTTATGGAATAAAAAGAAAAGTATATGAGACTAATCAGGTTATAATAATCCTTTGTGGACCCAATGGGTTATAACAATTCTAAAATGAATTTATCAATAAAAATCTCAAAAAAAAAATAATTTATTAATTTATTAATTTATTTAGGTCACATCACTTTTTTTTTTGTTATACGTCTTTTTATAATAATAATAATAATAAAAAAGTCAATTTGTAAGTTACTTTTCAAAACAAATCTAACTTTGAATCAAAATTTTATATATGATCATTTTGAGAAGTAGGAAAAAAATCAACTAATTTGTGTCACATCATTTCTTTATTTTATTTTTCTTAAACGTTTTTTCATAAAAAAATTAATAAATAAACTTGAGTTTAGAATTTACAAATTAATTGATTTTATTTATTTATTTTTAATATTAATTAATTAATGGTGTTTGACTGTAATTTTAAATTATTATATATTTGTTTTGGATTTTTCAAGTTATTTTACTTGAAAAGGTGAATTTTTTTTAAAATTATAATTTGTAATTTTTTTTCCAACTTATTTGAAACATTTAAATGTGTATGAACAAAAGAGTTTGACTTAATTATATTTTTAAGAGTATTTTGAATATTTACAAAAAAAAAAAAACAAAATTTATGTGACAATTTATTTAGTCAAATAAGTTTAATTTTTGGAAAAATTGGTCTAGGGTCCCTCTACCACTTTTCGTAAGGGAAGAGATCCATAAAATTATTTTTTGATGTCTAAGGTCCTCCCATCTATCACAGAGAAATTTAGCCCCCTTCCTTTTGTCTACTCTCACTCGTCACCACGATCAAACACGCACAGAGAGAGAGAGAGCCATGTCGCGCGGAAGATGTGTCGGTGGAGAGGTTTAGGGAGGTTCTCGCGGAGCTTGATCGACGGAGAGAAGCTCCACGGCACAATCACAGTCACCGATGGACAAAGTTCTCAATCCATCTACAACTGAGATTGGGAAAAGGAATTGAATGTTCAGCTACACACAGATGCTACGCAGGCTTTGGGGAAGATTGCAATCTCTCTTTCTATATATATATATATCTATCTTCATCCTCAATCTCCATCTTCCACTATTAACTGGTTCATTCCATATCTTGTATAGTTCTTCATCAAGCTCAATTACTATATTTCCCATTTTGAAGAACTTTACCAGCAAATGCTTGCAAAGGCTTTATATTCATGATGTTTATCTGAAATATATATTCATGAATTAAAAAGGTTGACTGAAATATATATTCATGATTAGGAAATTTCAGATAAAAAGCAACGAAAATGATTTTGACAAAATCTAGGACTATTTTAAATCCAGACAGAAATTAATAATAAGAGTTTTAACTTATATACGAGTAATTAATATTCCACTACCTTATTATGTACTGTAGTATGGGACGTCAGTTAAATTTATTACTAGAAACATCATGAATATATATTTTTTTGTGGTCTTAACCTTTTTATTTGAAATATATATTCATAATCCACAAAAAGGCTTTATATTCATGAATATATATTTTTTTGTGGTCTCAATCTTTTTGTGGTCTCCCATTTTGAAGCCAAGTTGCTGTTGTTGGACGTAACTGACTTTTTACTAAAGGTGGGTGCCAGGACACAAATATCAATCACCTCGTTGTGATTTGATATATAATGAACAATGCCAAAACCCTCACCTTGGTGTTCTTTCCTACCATGAGGATCCAAGAAGTGGTCTGTATCTGCTGCTAAGGAGGGTGACCTGGAATAGCTCTCCAATATATCTGAATGGAAAGCAAAAAAAAGCATGAAAAAAAAAATACCAAGAACATTGCTGAGGTTCATAAGTTCATTGACTCAAGTCAGTTGCAATAAAACCAATAACCTGTTGGCAGAATGGTATGAAGTTGGCCTAAATATACTTAAGTTCATAAAACAACGAGTTTAAGTAGTGGAAAAGAATTCAAAGGATTAGAGATTCTTCCCCGAAGAAGAACAATAGGGCAAATGTGTATAAAAGTGCAGTGTATTGAATCAACTCCTACATCTACTCAATCTATTGCATAGAACTTGGCCTGAACAATCTCTCATTAAATCATGAGAGAGAGAGAGAGAGAGAGAGAGAGAGAGCCAACCCATTTTCTTTGTAGAGAATTTCTGTCCAGAGAAATTCTCTGAGATTTTGGCCACTGTGTAAATTTTCTCTGAGAAATTCTCTGGGAGGTTCTAGAGAAATTCTCAGAAATTCTCAGAATTTCAGAATTTCTCTAGACAAAATTTCTCTGGACAGAAAATTCTCTGGTCATATTTGCCACTTACCAAAGTGCTCTGGTGGTATGAAGCTTTTAAAGAATTACATAATTTAAAACACTTTTTGTCTATTGAATTGGTGGCTTGCTGTTGTTTTTTTCTGGTTTTCTATGTACTAATGTCATGTATATTTGCTATAGGCAAGGGTGAGTCCTAGTGTTGTGGTATATGCTCAACTTTCAAAGCTTGATGGGGTTCTGCGAAGGTTCCATGCCTTACATTGCTTGGAAATGTTTAGGGTGGCAAAATGGTTTTTCCACTGGTATGTATTAATGTGTTTCATGAAATTTCATATTGAATGTTCTGAGCTATGATATTGTTGCAGAAAATGTGTCGGTGGAAGCATATGGAAGGGAGAGAAATTTGAAATTTCTCTGGAGAGTCCATGAAAGGCCAAGGAGGCTAGAGAAATTTTAAATTTCTCTGGAGAGGTAATTTTGTGGGAAGGCCAGTGAAGTCAGAGAAATTTTCAAATTTCTCTGGTGTGTTGAGTCCAGGAGGGCAGAGAAATTTACAGTGGGAGGTTTAGGGAAGGTCAGCTGAGGCTTGAAAACGTTTCTGGAAAGTACTTGGCAGACTGCAACGAAGCTTCAACATCCAAATTGGGATCCAACTGCACCGAAGCTGCAAGGTTGTGGTCTGTCTTGGAGCTCATGCCCCAAGAATTTCTCAAATTTCTCTAGATTCAACCCAGAGAAATTTGAATTTTCTTTGGATTCAACCCAGAGAAAATTCAAATTTCTCTGGGTTCATTTTGATCGGTTTCTTTCGAGGCGAGCAAGGGGGTCCAATTCTAAATTGCCTCTTGTTGATCCAACTCTACCGAAGCTGCAAGGTTGTTGTCTATTATACATATAAAAATTAGGCTAGAGTGGCAATTTTTCTGATTACTCTCTCTCTCGCATGCTGTTGCTTGGTATATCTAACATGAAATTTTTGGTTTTTCAGGTGATGTTGAAGCTTCTTTGAGTTGGTGTCCCAGTGTTTTTTGAATTCATTGATCTTCTTTTCAATTGTTTGGGCTTGATTTTCTTGGCTGGTTTTGTTTTTTAATTTCTTCTTCATTCATCTGTGAATTAATAGTTGTAAATGCTACCGACACCGCCAATC